CGACATGGGACCACCACCGACTCTGTGCACACACTTAACGGGTGCACTTGCAACAAGCACCAGGGGTAGGAGCTTGTGTATACACGATGTGTATATACGCGAAACACATGGGGACATGCACGCGGCGGCATCGTTGGCGGCCCCAGCGGGGCCGTGTCGGGGATACGACGCGGAGAACGTCCGTTCGTACCCCCCGGGGGGTCGCGCAGAAACACATCAAAATCGAATTCACCAGATGTCCAGGCCGATGTGCGAGGCGCACCCTTCTCTCTTTCCCTTATATACCTCGGGACACAAGGATGTCGCGTCCGCTAACGACGTTCGGGGCGACGTCGGTCGCAGATGCGTTTACGACCGGCGATTTGGGGAAGGAAAAGGATTCGACTTGCCACCTGAGCTCGTCCGCCCTTCGGCAAGGCCATCTTTTTCTGAGAGAAAAAAAAAGGGAAAAGAAAGAAGGCGAAAGTAGAAATTGACGCCGATATAAATAGTAATTTATCTAATCATTACAGTAATTAATAACAACTTGCTTTGATGAATAAAAGATTCGTTGGAACTTGTAATCCCGAAATTTTTCACTTCAAGATATAAATGATTTTATGAATTGTGATTATAGTCTTTTTAGATAATTTATCAATTTCTCTTTTTCTCTTTAGATTACTTTAAATAATGTACACTTTGTTAATGCATATATTTAAATCTTTTGAGAATATATTATTTAAAGTAGTTTTACGAGAGAGGCAGAGATAGAGAAAAAGAGAGAGATTTATAAACTAGAATTTAATTGAATAACATTTGAATATAATTATCGATTTCATATCAATAAAGTTCCTTATCATGAAAACAGAAAAGGGAGTATAGAAATTATTTTTAAAAAATATAAATCACATGCAAAATAAGAAATACTGGATAATGTAAATGCCGTGTTTAACGAAATTTCAGCGGAATTTCAACGATGGATTTGCAAGCGTGGGACGTGGCGTCGTTGTTGTAATTCCGTTACGTCATCATACGCGGCGAGCGTGTATGTACCTGCTTTTCGCTTTGAATTTTTTCGCGCACGTCATTCCGGTATTTAGCCGGATTGCCTTTTGAATAAGTCCAACGCGCTTTTTGACGCGCAAAAAAAGCGCTGTGCGAACCGGCCGACGCGACGTATGTAGGTATACGCACACACGTCCACACACACGCACGCGCGCGCATTTAGCGTGTGGCGTAACGTAATGCAGCGTAATGTGGCACACTTGATTGGCGGCAATATAAACGCGACAATTGCACGCCGAGAGCTGCGCCCAAAAGCGTATGCAAATATATACGCAAGAAAACTGACACAATTTATAAACTGTACCCCGCCTCTCTCGGATATACCCCGAGAAAAATTGATTTCACAATCAGTTCAAAACGGCGCAGTTGTTTCGCAGAATTTCTCTCGTCGCGCGCACGACGCGCAGAGATTTCATCTTTTCAAACGGGCGAGTCATCTTTGCCACTTGATACCGACGATCACTTGGTCACCTTTGACAACCAATAATTTCCTCGTCCCGCTGAAGGAGCGATCTGACGCCGCGCGCTAGTAAGTAACAAGTTATGATAAACTGTCTTCGGCGGCTTTCTCGGTTCGCCGATACGTGTGTCGAATTCGCGCGGCGAAGTATTGCGTCGCAGCTCATTAGGGATAATGCTACTGAAATCGTCGTGACGCCGAACGACGTCTGTCGACGGCGATAATACACAATCGAAAGACGGAAATCGAAGACGGTGACACCGGTACGACACGCGCTAATAAAAAAAAAACGTAAATGGTCACTTACCTCACTTAACTTCCGTCGTCGGGCGATTTCTTGCTGCCGTCTATCGTTATCGATATCTGATCGCTGTTACACACACAGATACGCTTTCCTAATTAGCATAAATCAAAGGATCCGTCGCGCCAATGATATCGTCAATCTTGATCGACCGACTGCAATCAAGATCAACTGCTATTGGCGCGACAGGCGAACAGATAAGAGATTAGGCCCGTTAGATTTTGCGAATAATTCGGCTGCACTGTAAAACGATATTTTTATAAAGACC